CCCTCAGAAGGGTTATAAGGCAGGGATGATTCAACCAAGGTGTAATATAGCACTGATGAATCACACATCATTCCTCTAGTTCCTGAATGCTTCCTCCCTGCCACTACCATGACTCAGTTCTACCTTACAAATCTTGCTAGACCAGAAAACATACAACGGTACAAGTAAGAGCTCTCCACACATGGAATTCCGGACAGATAAATCCCTCAGGAACAGTAGTGGGAGTAGCGATCTCATGAGGGTAATGGGATGGCCGGGGAGGGGGAAGAGGGAGAAAGGGGGAACCCATCACAAGGTTGGATATATAGCCCCCCCCCAAAGGGATGAATAACAGAATGTGGGTGAAGGGAGACAATGGACAGTATAAGATATGAAATAATAATAACAATATATAATTGATCAAGGATTCATGAGGGTGAGAGGGTGGTGGAGGGAGGAGAAAAAGAGGAACTTATACCAAGGGCTCAAGTAGAAAATGTTTTGGAAATGGTGATGGCAACATATGTAAAGATATGCTTGATACAATTGATGCATGGAATGTTATAAGAGCTGTAAGAAGCCTTCTTTTAAGAGAAGAAAAGAATTGGCAATGTATTTGGGTAGTAACCATAGGTCATTTCGATTTAAATATCTATGTTGACTGAAAGTAATATTTAAAATAACCATTGCCCATTGCTGTTTGTTTGATCAGGACGTATAACAATTCATAGGCAAAGGTAGAACTGTCCCATAGGATTTGTAAGACTACACATCTTTATAAAGGCATATTCACAGAGTGCCCGATGGTCTTCATCTGCTGACCTCTCATTAACCACAGCACCAGCAGGTCTTCGACCATAGTAATGATATATCCATTCTATGGTGTGAGAGCAAAGGTATTTGTTTTCTGGGGGTTATTTTGACACTCACTTTTCTTTTAGAAGGAAAAGTATAGAATAAAATTTGGGAGAAGAAATTGTAACCAAAAAAAGAGAAGAGAATGTGCTTTCCCCTCCCAGTGGGGTCGCTAGGAAGGGATGAGCCAACCAGGGCGCAGGACAGCATTGATGAAACACACAATGTTCCTCTGGTTCTTTGAGGCTTCCTCACCTCCCACTATCATGACCCCAGTCCTGCCATTCACTGCGGGCTAGACCGGAGCATGTACACAGGTACAGATAAGAGCCCATGACACATGGAATCCAGGTCGGTCAGAAACCACCCCCTCACCCACTCACCCCCCACAGAAATGGCAGTATGATACCAGGAGGTGAGGGGAAGGGGTGAAGAGGAGGAAAGGAAGGGGAAACTGATCGCGATGACCAACACAGACCCACGCCTCTCCACCCCCCACTAGGGGGACGAACAACAACTGTGGGGGAAGGGAGACAGTGGTCGGTGTAAGATAGGAAAATAATAATAATTTATAATTTATGAAGTAGTCACAGGGGGTGGAGTGGGGAGAGAGAGGGAAAAAAAAGGAGCTGACATGAAGGGCTCAAATGAGAAAATAATGATGGCAACAATGTTGCGGATACAATTGATGAATGTATTGTTATAAGAGCCCCCAATGAAATGTTCTTTTAAGCAAATAAAAATGAAGAGAACATGTTTTTTGGAGTAGGTGACCTTTACTTGCCCCTAAAGAAAAGGTAGCTCTGGGTCAGGGGGAGAGGAAGAAAAGGGAAGGGCATTTGAAGTGGAAGGAATGATGGAAACTCAGCACAGAGGCAGAAGAACCAGGAGACGTTCGGGGCTTCAGAACTCACTACTGGAGCCCAGCAACTCGGGAGGAGTTCAAAACCACCAGCCACTCCTTGGGAGAAAGACAACCTTTCTACTCCCTAAAGAGTTACAGTCTCGGAAACTCACAGGGGCTGTTCTACCCCATCCTAGGGGTCCTTCCAGGAGGATCAGCACGGGCACAAGGCCAGTGAGCGTGGTGCTGATTTGTGTAGCCTGGAGCCCTGGCAGTGACCTGGGTTACACGGTGGGCAGCTAACCTCGAGGGCAGCAGTTGGTCCTACCAGACGCTCTGCAAGAGAAAAAGGAAAAACGAGTCTTTTAACTCACCATGATTTCTAGCCCCGGAAACCCACAGGGCCAGGCCTTCTCTGTCCTCTGGGGTCCCGAGGAACCAAATTTGACGCGAAGAGAGTACATTCCGAGTCCGAGATCGCTCTGGAAGGATACGGCGTTGACTTTGCAGAACCGCAGATGTCAATTCAAGGGCTTTTATTCTGTCGTTAACAAGGAAACCTTGGGTGCTTCAGGCCACCCGAATAATAAGATCAGAGTTATGTTGCAAGAAGATTGAACTTTTTTTCATTTGGAAAAAGAAGAAAAGAATGGTGCGTGACCACAGCATCTCCTCAAACTGATACCACATCCAGCAATGTCTCCGTCGTTAGAAGCAAAATCAGTGTTGTCTCACCGACCAGCCTGTAGGCAATACAAAGCAGCATTCCTATCACTGGATTATTGACGGTGTTGATGTGACTGATAGATCACTGAAGTTATTTTAGCATAAATCTCCTTAAGTGTCAAATGCCTCCCTACATGAGGAAAGAGCACTCTCATTTGTAATCCACAGACAGGGAAAGCCCGCTAAACGGTTTTGAATGACAGCTATTCGATCTCTCAGGCCGCTTATGGCAAGTGCCTCCTTTGTGACATTCTTTTTGCCCTTTAGTTCCAGACAAAGTGGGGAACCTGGAGGCCAGCAGCCATGGCCGGGCCCTTGAAGTGAGCTGGCTGCCCCCTGCTGGAGACTGGGAGCAGTACCAACTCGTGCTCTTCAATGCGTCCTCGGTGCTGCTCAACATCACCGTGGCCAAGGACGAAACGCGGTATGTCATTGATGATCTAGGGCTCATACCGGGAAGACAGTACGATGTCGAGGTCACTGTTCACAGTGGGAACCTGAAGAACTCTGCGCGTTGCCAAGGCAGGACAGGTGAGCAAACATCCACGAGTGAACGTCAGTTGTTAGTTGCCAGCGGGCCTCAACCACACGTGGGCAGTGCGCCATAGAGCTCCCAAAGCGGTGGCCTTGGACATAAATCACTACTATGGGTCTGTCATTTACTCTCTTCCCCATGTAACCCAGGTAACCCTCAAGGCCATAGACCATGTTCCCTGAATTTGAGATATTACAAACTAGATTGTCTCTCTGGTCTGTAGACAGACTGTAGGCTGAAGACGGACATGGAATAACTTATATTTAATCTCACCGAGTGAGAACGTTAACAATCACTTCCACTCATAACATCAGCCTACTAATTACTTCAGAAACTGCATTCTAGGCTGTGGTCTTCGGGAAGCAAATCACTGTGCCATTCCTTAGAGGCCTTTCGAGATGGGTTTGAACTACCGATCTCTGATTCGTCATCAAGCACTTACCCATCCGTGCTGCCCAAGGACTCCCTTAGAGACAGGGAGTCTTCCATCAGACGCTACTATGAGTAGCCAGCCTCCTCTTTTTATGGGTCCCTCAGTGGTCACCTCTCAGAAATGTTAAAGAAAGGGCTTGGTCATTTCCAAACTATCAAAGACTCCCAACCTACCTACATACTTTGGCGCGGACTTTGCCGTTTTGTGGATGGCAACGTTGGATTAAGTATTTTTGCATGCTAGACTTTATATGGAGAGAACAATGCTAAGTAATTAATACATGGTCAGCATACATTATTTTTCCAGCAAAGTGTTTTCTAACCGTATTCTGGTTATGGTACATGATTATCTGTTTAAGACAAAAAATGCTTACAAGCCTTTAGGAATGACACCATTCCTGTGGATGGAAGAGAACAGCTCTCTGAAGAAACCCCGTAAGTGGAAGCGAATCAGTCTCCATTGCTCTTTCCTCAGCCCCCCTGGCTGTGCTTCAGCTGCGTGTCAAACATGCCAACGAGACCTCGCTGGGCATTCTGTGGCAGGCCCCGGTGGCAGAATGGGAGAATTACATCATTTCACTAGCTGATAGAGACCTCTTGCTCATCCACAAGTTGCTCTCCAAGGATGCCAAAGAATTCACTTTTACTGACCTGGTGCCTGGGCGGAAGTACAAGGCTACGGTCACCAGTATTAGTGGAGACTTAAAAAATTCATCTTCAATAAATGGAAGAACAGGTAATATCCTTTATACAGTTTAGATTGTCAAAATATTCTGTTTGCTGATTTACCATTTAATCTGTTTACAAATGTTCATTAAATGCCAACCTTCTGTGATTGGTTTCTGTTTCGCTAATTCCAATTCTTTATTCAGTTCTTCATTTTACTGTGTTTGGCAATAATTTGCTAAAATCGAAAGAGCGATCCTTCCATAGAGTTGTTCTATAAAGAAAAGTTGAGGAATGGGGTAGAATCTAACAGAAGAACTGGGGTTGAAAGGAGGACTGTCTTTGAATCAAAGGAGAAATAACAGATTTTATTTTATTGACTTATTTTTGCTGGTTTAGAAGAAAGGGGATTAGTGATGATGTAAATAGAGGGCGGAATTGGTACAGCTCTCCCGTGGGCAGGGAAGGCGGTGCCTAGAGAAAAAGCGCAAGTAGTTTAACTTTAGTTAAAGGAGGGGGCACATGGGTGCAGATGCCAGTAGGTGGAGAGATGTAGTGACTAATCTTCTGTTTAATTTTCTCAGCAGGACAGCTAGCAAGGTCATAACTGGAGATTCCCATCTTCAGTTTATATGCTGTTGCCCTGCATTTTTATTCCAATCCCCTTATTTAATCCCACAAAGCAGCGTTATCGTTTCCTGTAGTCAGTGTTGATGTAGATTTACTCACCAATCTATCACTTATTTTCTCATCTTTCCTTCCTGCATCTCACAAGTCCTGTCCAGCACCACTTCATCCCAAGAACATTCGTCAAAGGAGTTTTAGGGACAAACGTTCTCTTTTGTTTGTCTGGATATGTCTTAGTATAGCTCTCAGTCTTGGAATATTTTTCCCTGGGCTACGATTCAGCGCTGAAAGTTATTTCCTCTCAATCCATAGAGATATTATTCTCACCTTTCTGACATTTATTGGTGCTGTTAAAGCGATCAGTCTAATTTGTATTTCTCTGTGGGCATTCTGCTTTCTACGGCTGCCTTTAAGATCTGCTCTTTGCCTTAGGTATTCTGTTTTTTCACAAGAATGGTCTAGGTGAGAACTTTTGTTCATCCTATATAAGACTGAGATTTCTATATTTATAGAATAGTATCTTTCATTAGTCCTGGAAAAACCACTTGTCATCATCACCATCGCCTACATTGCTGATTCCTATGAGTAAGGGTATATTTAAAAGAAAATTCTAAACTCTTTTCCAAAGTGGATGTACAGTTTTGCATTCCCACCAGCAATGCATGAGACTTCTAGTGCCTCTACTTCCTTGCTAGTACTTGGTATTGTCAGCTTGGTTTTTTGTTTTCTTTTTTCCCGGCCATTTTAACAGGTGTGTATTGAGTGCTATCTAAGTGTGGTTTTATTTTGCCTGTCCCTAATGTTATTGACCACCACACCACTTGTCTGTCAGTTTGTCCTGCTGTGGTGGCTTCTGTGTTGTTGGGATGCTGGGCGCTAAAGCTAGGTCACTGGTATCTTTAATACTGGCAGGGTTACCCAAAGTGAGCAGGTTTTAGCAGAGCTTCCAGATTGAGGACAGCTTGTGTCAGCAAGCTATTGAAGCACTGGAAGCACTCATTCATCTATGAAAAGAAAATTTGGAAGCAGCTACTTGGCCAACTCATTTAAAGATATCAGTATTTGTACATATTACCCCCAAATAAAGTGGCTCAAAAGAATATCATTGTTATCGCATGCAAGCAAAGTTTTACTTAAGATCATCCAACAACAGTTGCAGCAGTACATTGGCAGGGAACTGCCAGAAATAGAGATTCAGAAGATTATGTGGAATGAGGGATATCATTGCAGATGTCAGATGGATCTTGGCTCAAAGCAGGGAATACTAGAAAGATGTTTACTTGTGTTTTTATTGAGTGTGCAAAGGCATTCCACTGTGTGGACCATAACAAACTGTAGATATCCTTGAGAAGAGTGGAAATTCCAGAACACTTCATTAGGCTCACGTAGAAACCTGCACATGGAACAAGATACAATTGTAGGAACAGAAAAAGGGAATGCTACGTGGTTCAAAATCAGGAAAAGATGTGTGTCCAGGTTGTATTCTTTCTCAATACTTATTCAGTATCTATGCTGAGCAGAAGAATGAGAGAAGTTGGGTGATATGAAAAAGAAAGCAGCATCAGATGGGAGGAAGGCTTATTAACAACCTGCCATACGCAGATGACGCACCCCGGATTGCTGAAAGGGAGGAGCACTGGAAGCCCTTGTTGATGATGATCAAGGATTGCAGCCTTCAGTGTGGATTACAGTTCCCTGTAAAGAAAGCCAAAATCCTCACAACTGGACCGATTGGAACCTCATGATAAACAGCGAAAAGACTGAAGGTGTCAGGGATTTCATCTGGCTTGGATCCACAATCAATGCCCATGGAAACAGCAGTCGAGATCAAACAACCCATGGCCGTGGGCCATACATCTGTGGCACAAGACCTCTGTAAACTGTTGAAAAGCCCGGGTATGACTGTGTGGCCTGATGTTTCTCCGACCCAAGCCATGCTATTTTCATTGCCTCATCTGCACGGAATCAAGACCACAGAAGAATGGGTGCGTTTGAGCGTGGTGAAAACTACTGAACGCACAATGGGCTGTCAAAAGAACAAACGCATCTGTCTTTGAAGAAGCACAGCCAGAATGTTCCCACGGCAAGGATGGTGGGACTTGGTCTCGTGTGTTTTGGACATGTTATCAGGAGAGACCCGTCCCTGGAACAGGTCTTCGTGGTTGGCAAAATAGAGGAGCAAGGAAAAGGAGGAAGGCTTTCAACAGATGGACTGATACAGTGGCTGCAACAACGGGCTTAAACATAAGACACTTGTGAGGACCAGGCAGTGTTGTACACAGGGCCGTATGAGTCGGAACCAACACGATAGCAGCGGACAAAACCATTGCTGTTGAGCACCATTTATGTGCTTATTTGCTATCCATTTCTATTTATCGGTGAAGTGTATGTTCAAATCTTTTGCCCATCTTTTTTTAATTGAGTCTTTTTTTTTAATCAAGTGCTGAGCGTTCTGTACTCTGGATATAAGCTCTTTGTCAGAGTTTGTGTGGGAAATATTTTCTTCTAGTCAATGACTTGTCGTTTTGTTACTTTTTCAGTATATTTTCCTGAACATGATTTTTCTGTCAAATTTATAATTTTTTTATACAGATCATGTTTTTGGTATGATATCTAAAAATCTTTGCTTAACACACGACTACAAAGATTTTTTCCTAGAAGTTATATGGTTTTACATTTTAAAGATTAGTTCATGATTTGTTATGAGTTAATTTTTGAAATGGTGCAAGACATGAGTCAAAGTGTATTTGTTTGTTTCCGCACGGACATCCAATAAATCCAACTCTGTTGGAAAGGGCCTTTCCCTATTGAATTACCTTCCCACCTCTGTGAAAGAAATAAATATGTATTGGTCTATTCCTGAAGCCTCCGTTCTGTTCCACCAATCTCTGTGTAAATCCTTCCACCGATTCAAATTTCTTTGATTACTGTAGCTGTATAATAAGTGTTGAAATCGGGTGATGGAAATCTTTGACTACACATAAACCAAGCACACAGAGCAAAGACAGTTGTTTGAACAGAACCAGGGAGGATCCTACCAGGTTTAAAATTAGGAAAGGTGTGTATCAGGGTCATCTCCTTGCAGGATACTTATTCAGTCTATATCTTGAGCAAATAATCAGAGAGGCTGGACTCTCTGAAGAAAAACACAGCCATCACTTTGAAGTAGTCTGAACCTGCAATCGGCGGATGGCACAACCTTGTTTGCTGACCGTGAGAAGGCCTTGAACTGCTGATTGCTGCAGATCAGTGGCTACTACCTTTATTATGGATTACATCTCACCCAACATAAAGAAAACAAAAATCCTCACCACTGGGCCAATAAGCCACCTGGCAATTAATGGAGAAAGGATTGAAGTTGTCAAAGCCTTCATTTTACGGGAATCACCATCAATGCCCACGGAGGCCGCCGTCGAGAGAGCAAATGGCGCGTTGCAGAAAGAAGGACAAGGTGCCGCAAACGATCTCTTTAAAATGTTCAGAAGCACAGGTGCCACTCTGAAGACTAAGTGTGCCTGACCCACGCGATGGTATTTTCCATGGTCTCATAGGCATTTTGAAAGAATCCGGGCAACAAAAGAAGAATTGATGTCGTTGAGTGATGGTGTTGGTGAAGACTCTAAAACATACCGTGGAGAACTGGAACCAGGACATCTGGCTGGAAGAAGCACAAACAGAATGCTCTGTGGGAGCTAAGATGGCAAGACTTCATCCCAGGTACTTTGGAGAGATCCGTGCCTGAAGAAGACCATCGTGCTTGGTAAAATGGAGAAAACCCTCAACGCGGTGGATTGGCAACGTAGCAGCCACGATGAGCTCACCCATAACAGCAGCTGTGAGCGAGTGTGGTACAAGACCAGGAAGTCTTTTCTGCCGTCAGTCATAGGCTTGCTAGGAATCAGGGCCCACTCAGTAATATCTAAGAACAATAACCAAATCTGCCAACAGGGTTCATTTTCCAAACGAGTTTGGGCATTCTAGGTCCTTTGTTGTCCATGTGAATTCTAGAATCAGTATATAAATTGGTTTTTTTTAATATATATCCTGCAAAGATTTTGATTAGGAAGTGTTGAATCTGTAAATTAGCTTGGGAATGTTGGTGAGCTGATATCCAAACAACATCTCTGGAAATCCACGTATCGTAATATCTTCTGAGGAGTGTGCTCGCATCTCCAGCTCCAGGTGAAGGAACTCTGAGAAGGGGCATTCTGAGGTTCTCATCAGTAACCATAATACGTCAAGGAGGAAGCACGAAGAAGTAGGCTGATCGAGAAGTGACCTCGACATCGTGAATGAACTTTGTTGATGTGTGGGCTAGCAGTCACAACAGTGACTGCTTCGGAAAGAGCACACGCTTAGAGTTCGACATAGTGGCTTATTGGACTCAGGCTGGTGATTTGTTGGAAATCTCTTATAGGTTAAGTGACGTAAATTTGATGAACTTTGGTTTTCTCATCACTGAAAAGGAAATAATACAATCAGTATCTTCGAGTTTTAAATGAGTACCAAATAATGTAACTGTATAAAGCACGGAGCCCATAACTGGCTCCCAGTAGGCACAAAGTTATTGCTGTCTTACTATTATTAGATGATAATATTCATCGTATTATATCACTTTCCCATGTAATAATAAGAATAGACCTCGTGAGAATGAGTCAGCACATAATTAGCCAGGTTACTAGATCGCATTCTAATCACCAGGTTGAACTGATTTCCCAATACCACCCCAAAACAGCCAGCAGGTAGATCCCATGACCTTGGGTTCTCATAGGATAAGGACAGAGAAAATAGCATTAAGTAAGTGGTCTTCAAAAGTAGAAGTCTCGTGACAAACATCAAACATCACAGCCTCTGCTACCCAAGACCAGAAGAACCAGCTGGTCCCAGCTATCACAATTGACTACTCTGGTCAGGATCCCAACAGAAGGTGGTGGACAGAGGGGGAGTGAAACATAGACTGAAATGCAAAGTCATGAAGAAGATGGAAAATAGGTCTATCTACTAGAGGCCAGTGGGACCCCTGAAACTGTGGCCCCTAGACACCCTTTAAACCTGAAACCGAACTCACCCCTGGGAATCACTTTTCAGTCAAACAATAGATAGGCCTGTAAAGGAAACAATACCTTGGAGGAATATAACGTTCAGAAAAAAATCAAACCGAACAAGACCAAAAGAGCCCTCTTCTGCCCGAAAATGAAGCTCCAAAGGCAGGAAGGGACAGGAAAGGAGGGTGGATGGACAGAGAACCCAGGGAGGAGCAGGAAGGGTGCTGTTACATTGCTGATGAAAGAAAAAAAGGGGGGGGGGGTACAAATAGTTCAGTCTCTCTCTCTCTGTCTCTCTCTCTCTCTCTCTGCTGCCATTCAGTCAATTCTGACTCATGGTGAGCCTACTGGACAGGGTAGAACCACCCCTGTGGGCTTCTGAGACTATAACTTTTTACAGGTGTAGAAAAGTGCCCCTTTCTCCCAGTAGCAGCGCAGGTATAACCACTGTGCAGCCAGGGGTCCTGAGAGGTTGTACGGAAAGCTAATTTGCAGATGCCAGTTTAGCCAGTTTAGCCCCTGTCAGTACCTCCCTCGTCCGCAGGATGTGTCTGTGTGTTTGTATTGTCTTTGTCTCTTTCAACACCTAACACAAGGCCTCTTTAAATTAAAAAGAAAACAAATTTCCTCTGTAAACTCTCATCCAAACCACAAGGAAAAAGAAACCTTTCATTCTTTAAAATTGTAAATCAAAGTCACTCAATAGGCATGCCTCTTTTTCCTTAGATCTGAAATGATGTTGATATCCAAAATAATAGCTTTCCCCCCCCAAAAAAATAATAACTTTTCAGAAAGATGAACCTCCACAAAGAATATTCTCTGTGTGTCACAGAAAACAAGCCAAGAGCCTGTAGGAAAAAAGACAATGTTTTTAACATGTTCAACTCTGCCTCCACGTTGTGCTTACATTGGGGCTTTGGGATAATGGCATGGGGTGGCGGTGGCGGTTTTGTCATCTCTCTGTCTACTATGCTTTAGTGCCTGCCCAGGTGACTGGCCTGCATGTGGCCAACCAAGGGACGACCAGCAGTCTGCTGACTCACTGGACCCGGGCCCTGGGCGACATACAGTCCTACCAGGTGTTACTGATCCACGACAACGTGGTCATCAAAAATGAAAGCGTATTAAGCGACATCAGCGAATACAGCTTCCACGGTCTCAAGCCAGGCAGCCTCTACTCTGTGGTGGTCACAACCGTGACTGGAGGCATCTCTTCCCGACAAGTTGTGGCGGAGGGGAGAACAGGTAAGAAGTAGAGTGTGCGTGTGTACGTGTGTATTTATCCTGCAAAGGTCTAAGTGCTTGCCATCTCAAAACAAGAAGTAGGGTGTGTGTGTTTATCCTGCAAAGGTCTAAGTGCTTGCCATCTCAAAACAGTATGTTTTATGTTTTAGAGTTTTAAAAACATACCCAGAAGCAGACTCACCTCTGACCTTAACAATCAAACTTGAGTGCTACATTGAGCTTGAGATCTAGATCTTGGTCTTCACTCTGTGATTATTTCTCTAAGTGTCTGTTTTGCAGTCAAAACACAGTCATTCATCCCTCCTCATTGATAATTATATGAAAATATGTAACTGATATAATCAACTAATGATAAAAACAGGAGGACAGTTAATATCTTCTGTAAGATTATTTTCTGATAGTCACTGATGACAGTTCTACTTATACTGCACATATCTCTGATACCTGGTACAACTTCTACTCAGTACTACAATGATCAATTTGTGAATTATACTTCTAGCTAGACAATTCATTCCTTGAAGGTATCCATAGATTATCTTTTTTTAAAATTTTGTTATCTTCAATATAATAGGCTCTCAGTAAACCCCAATTAAACTAAACAAATATTATCATTAACGTCAGAGAACCATTATTGCCCCTATTCTGGCTTAAGACCACAGCTGGTGAAAGTTTCAGACTTCTTGCTCCCAGGAAAAGATTTAGGCTTAATGTTTGCCACTAGAGGGCAGGAAAATGCTTTGTAAAAGAAAATACAACTACTGGGGTGCCTTACTGGACTATTCCCCCAGGGATAAATACTTCATCACATGAAGAGAAGAATTCTCTCTCGGTCTTAAGATTCTTAGGGAAATGATTGCTTTGCTCTTCCTCTCCAGGATCTGAAGTTTATTGCTGAGTTTGATTCAAGATGATTCATTTGAGTTATGTTGCTTCTTTTTTCTGATGGGGAACCCTCTAGACACATTCATGTAAAAATGCCTCCTTTTTAAAATACTTTATCAACAGCAGCCACGTAAAATCCCTAAGATCCGCACGCGTGGGTCCTCGTGCTCATGAGACAGACCTCCTCTGCTCATCCAGAACGGCTCTGCGCAGACTCATTGTGCTTAACCCTCTGACTTAAGATCACCGGGCTTCCGGAAGCTAAAGTGAAGTCCTCACATTCTTTTCTTTCTTTCCCCCCTACTCCCTGATTTTATTTATTTATAAATAATTATATTTGGGGCTCTTATAATATTCTGCACATCAATTGGATCGAGTAGATTTATACATATGCTGCCGTCACCATTTTCTAAACCCTGACACCTTCTTCACCTCTTGGTATCGTAGACGTCTGCCCGAGTCGCCGCCATTTTTGCTGACCAAGCAAAATGACTCCAACCCTTGACTTTGCCTTTGTTTTTTCAAATTTCTTTGTTTGACTTCCAGTGCCTTCCAGTGTGAGCGGCGTCACGGTGAACAACTCTGGTCGTGAGGACTACCTGGGCATTTCCTGGCTGCCGGCACCTGGAGATGTGGACAACTACGTGGTGACGCTCTCCCATGACCAGGTGTTTCAGTCCCTCCTTATTGCAAAGTCTGTCAGCGAGTGTTCCTTCAGCGCCCTCACTCCAGGCCGCCTCTACAACATCACCGTCACCACCAGGAGCGGCAAGTATGAAAATCACTCCTTCAGCCAGGCGCGGACAGGTAAGGAACTGTGAAGGCTGCCCCCCAATCCCTGCCAGCCACGTGTCCCAGGGCACCTCGAACAATGAGAGAGAGAGAGAGAGCATATCCTATCATGGTAGGATTAAAAGCAGTTGGGATCACAGATTTCTTTGTATTTTGACTCAAGAGACAGCTTCTCAGTAGGATTAACTCCGCTTTCAGAGCTAGAATTCACATCAGACCCAAAGGTGTTGGCTGCTGTTGTGTTGGCTCCAATTCCCAGAGCGCTTCCGCATCCTAGAAGGGAATGGTGTCCAGTCTGACTGCTTTGTCACGTTCAAGGCTGCTGTTGGGGCCTCATCTAAGGGAGGGTTTTGCTGCTTTTTGTAGACCCTCTACTTTAGCAAACATGATGTCTTTTCTAGCAATTGGCCTTTCCTGCTGACAAGCAAGCAAGGCCCGTCTCTCAGCCCTTGCATCGAAGGAGCATTCTGGTTGCATTTCTTCTAGGACCGATGTGTTCAATCTTCCGGCAGTCCGTGGCACCATCCACGTTCTTTACTAATACCACGATTGGAATGTAACGCTTTTTCTGCTATTTCCTATGGTATTGTCTAGCTTTCACATCAACATGAGGCACCCGAAAATGTCATGGCTCAGGTCAGGCACGCCTGAGTCACTAAGAAATGTTTGAACTCTAGAGAAATCAACTGCAGGAGATTGCCCAAAGCAAGCCATTGTTTGGCTTCTTAAGTGCTGCGTCCATGGAACGTGTTTGTTGGCCTATGTAGCATGAAATCATTGATAAGTTCATTTTTCCCATCTAATATTCAAACGTACAAGCAAGTATTTCTCAATGTGAGTACATTCTTGCTGCCAGGCTCTGATATTTTGTATGCCAATTCATGGAAACCTACAATCTTTTACTGAGGTGGTGAAGAATCAAACTCGCAGTCATTGAGCCCATTCCCCCTCCAAGCGGCCCTGTGCTCCGTAGGGATTTCCCGGGCTGTGGACCGTGAGGGAAGTAGAATGGCTCCCTGTCCTCCCGTGGAGCCTCGGGAGACTGCCAGCGTCCAGCCTCTCCCTTAGCAGCCACCTCTTAGCCCCCGGGCCAGGTCACTGCTACCATTGGACAGATGAGGAAGTCAAGATCGGGAGGGTTTAGTGACTTGTCCAGCTTATTGAACGGGTGACCTTGTCGTTATGTTTCTCTCTTGGATATAAGCCCAGGTCTGAGTGACACCAGGTGCTGCTGAGCTAGGGGTCCTAAATCCTTCCTGAAATGTCTCTTGATTGGGACCATTAGTCATCCCTTTTCACACACAGTGAAAATTTGAATCTTTGTGATTCTGGGACTTGGGAGCAGTCTCTTGGCAAAGATCATCAATGCCAGTGCTTCAATATGTTGAAAAGAACCAAATAGAGATGTCAAAGATGTCCCTGACGTGTTTTCTGGCATTGACCTGTGAGGTTTCTGTGTGTAGTTGCCATCAGCATTTTATCAAGTTCTTTCCTTCTGAACTATGTGTCAAATCACATCTTTCTTTCTGAGCTAGGGGTTGTTAAGGATGTCTGGTTTTCCATGGGAATTGGGGATAATTAACACCATCCTACAACCTCGCAGAGGAGCTCTGGTGGCATAGTGGCTGGTAACCACGTGGTTACAAGTTCAAAACCACCGAATGGGGCAGCTAACCACACAGTTACCAGTTCTAAACCACCAGCCACTCTGTGGGAGGAAGAAAAGGATTTCTACTCCCATAAACAGTTACAGAACCCCACAGGGGTGGTCTACCCTGCCCGGTACGGTTGCTATGAGGCCGAATCAACCATGGCCATGAGGTTGGCTTTGGTTATTACCCAGCACAGCGCCTCACAGCCCAGTAGGTTTGTTAAGAGGTCATTAGAATTCAGGATTTCCAAGCAGTGGCCATTGGGTGAGCTTAGGGACCTCAGTGACCCCTGAACTCATCCAGGAAGTAGCTGGGCTGGGGAAGGTATGCGCCTTTCTCTGGGAAGAAAACCAGGCTTGCGTCAGTGTCTCAGAGCTTCTGTGACTTGGGGAAGGGTAAGCAACACAGATGTCTGTTGCCATAGCAGGCTGCCATCGAAGGGGTCCTTAAACACCATCATCTCCTCTCCTCACCTGGAGGTAAATAAAGCCCTAGAGAGGAAGAGTAACTTCCCCATCCATGTAAGGTCACATGTCTGGCAGGTAGCAGTTTGGCCCAGATTGGTACTATGTCCGTTCCACCACTATGAGGCCCCGAAGTGTTGAGTAGAACTTGCC